ACATGCTTTGTCTATATACTGCCATACCATCTGTTTCCGGCAATAAGTATCTCATATTCTGGTATCCACGGTATAGTGAATGACATTTATGACAATGTACTACCATACCATCTGTTTCCTGCAATAAGTATCTCATATTCTGGTATCCACAGTATAGTGAATGACATTTATGTCAATGTACTACCATACCATCTGTTTCCTGCAATAAGTATCTCATATTCTGGTATCCAAGGTATAGTGAATGACATGTTTTGTCAATGTACTCCCATACCATCTGTTTCCTGCAATACGTATCGCAGATTCTGGTATCCACGGTATAGTGAATGACATTTGTCAGCGTACTGCCATACCATCTGTTTCCTGCAATACGTACGCAGATTCTGGTATCCACGGTATAGTATCCTGCACTATAATATGATACATTTTAGAAAGAAGTTCTGATGGAGGCTATCAAGCGAGTATGTTCGGTGATGGCAACTATACTGCATTGGGAATAAACAGGGCAACTAGCCACGTTTTGCGTTGGTTTGTCGACAGTAGCATCTAACAACGATATGGGACGTTAGTTATCCAGTTTGGAATAATCATTACATACTGAACATCATTGAAAACGCACCACCTGTATTAGTTTGGATTTCCAATAGCATAAATGAGCAATCGGTGTAAATTTTACATACTTTTGTAGTCCAATGATTGGTAAAGAAAAGAAACAAGAACCGATCCAACAAAACAGTGAAGTTTTAATTCAGCTGACCATGAAAAAAGATGGAGTCAAATTGGAAAGTCAGTAACGTGTATGACCACCATTAGCAGCAATATAAGCTGTGCAATGTCTCCTCATTGAACTGATAAGTCTCTGAATAATGTTTTTAGGCAATGCATTCCACTCCTGTTGCAAGGCATTCTCAAGTTCTCAAGTTCCCCAAGGTTGTTGATCTGTGGGCGACGCGAAAGGCGTTGGCCGATGTAATCCCACAAGTGTTCAATGGGAGACAAATCTCGTGACAATGCAGGCCATGGAAGTAGAGGAATGTTGTTGTGTTGCAACACGTGCAGTGTGCGGTCGAGCATTGTCCTGCTGGAATGTGTGTAGATCTTGATGTTGGTTAAAGAAGGGAACGACGTTGTTCTGAAGAATGGTGTCACGGTAGTAAAGGGCATTCACTCTGCCACGAGAAACTACAAGGACTGATCAAACCAGGTCGGCCTTGAACAGCGTTGGCGGTTCTGGCAGCCGGCAACGTACGATCCCGAATATGGCGCCGAACAATGTCTCGATCTTGGCGAGGGGTGGTAACACGTGCCTGGCTAGGACGTTGGCGTTGTGCATGAATTTTGTTGTTGTCATGTGATGTGTTCCATGATGTGTTCGGGCAATCCGTTCTTTACTGTACAGCATTATTTATTTCTTTTGTGTTATTGACAACATTTCCAAAGTTCATTTTCACTCTCAAAACAATCCTATTACCATATTTCAAAATTTACAGGCGGTGCGTTTTCAATGATGTTCAGTATATTTAGCGAGCTGTGACAGCACAATTAAGACACTCGTTGCAGGACAAAACAACCATCACACGTTTGTGTTTGGGGATGGTAAATCCTACATGAGGAATAAACATTGTATTTAGCGAGGTTGGGTACTAGGTTTAGTAACCAAGATAAATCTAATTTCTATGGGATAAAGCATTACCAAACACTTTGAGACTTTTATGTAGCAAAACGAATCGGATTCATACATATATTATTTGTTTGCATGATTGCAAGTGGGAGTGGGAGAGTAAGTAGTGAGCAGGGGACATCAGAAATGGGCTTCACACATTGTACACGTGTGGAGATTCGAACCCGGGTCTTCGGTGTGGCGGCCAGACACTTTGGCTTCAAGGCTACCACACTGCCCTGTGACAGAACGAGGATCGTTCGCTCATTCAAATCTGCGATGGATACATCTTACCTGTAACTTTTTACAGTATGGCGGCGGCTAACACTATTTAAGTAAAGGGGATTTCCGATTTGTAGTACATTTCATTACACTCACAGTTTGCACAAAAATATTTTTGTATTTTACGGTATTTTGAACTGCAATGACGATTACAGTTCCATCCACTATAATCTAGTTTCATGATGTCTAGTTTTGAAAAACCGGATTCAAATCATGTAAAGACTGTGTAGGAGCAATCCTGATTGTCACCTTCGCTGGAATTATTAACTTCCTTTCAACAGCATGTTAGAAACTGTAGTAAAAATGAAGACAAGTCTGCGTTTGTGTGTTCAAATTTTAATTCTTGCTTAGCATAGTTGTTAGTATCTGTATCGAGGCAACAGCAACTACCACTTCAAGAACAGCCGTCCAATTATATAACGCTCAGAAAAAATGCGTTGCTAAGCTCATATCCCAAAAATCAGAAACGGAGGTGTGACTCTACTTCAAGAACGAAACTGTGATGATAAGTCAGTCGAAGTATAAAAGGAATGTTCTCTTTATATGAGTGAGTGAGTGAGTGAGTGAGTTTAGTTTTACGCTACACTCAGCAATATTCCAACTATAAGGCGGCGGTCTGTAAATAATCGAGTCAGGACCAAACAACCCAGGGATCAACAGGATAAACATCGATCTACGCAATTGGGATGACATGTGTCGCGTCTTACGACAAGCATGGGTTACTGAAGATCAATTCTAACCCGGATATTCACGGGTCCTCTTTATGTGAATAGTTTAGAGACTAAGCGTAGACAATGCTTGTGTCTAGGTATATCTACCCACATTGTATGTATGTAATCTTTAGAGACCAAAGGTAAAACATACATGTAAATAGGCATTGATATAAATAAACAGTGAATGCATGCATTACAGAGAACAAAGATATTAGACACCTATATGTACACATACACCTATATCAACAAACACTGGATGGATGTAACACAGACCAAAGTCAAACATACATGTATCTAGGCACCTATATCAACAAACACTGGATGGATGTAACACAGACCAAAGTAAAACATACATGTATCTAGGAACCTATATCAACAAACACTGGATGGATGTAACACAGACCAAAGTAAAACATACATGTATCTAGGCACCTATATCAACAAACAGTGGATGGATGTAACACAGACCAAGGTAAAACATACATGTATCTAGGAACCTATATCAACAAACAGTGGATGGATGTAACACAGACCAAAGTAAAACATACATGTATCTAGGAACCTATATCAATAAACAGTGGATGGATGTAACACAGACCAAGGTAAAACATACATGTATCTAGGCACCTATATCAACAAACACTGGATGGATGTAACACAGACCAAAGTAAAACATACATGTATCTAGGCACCTATATCAACAAACAGTGGATGGATGTAACACAGACCAAAGTAAAACATACATGTATCTAGGAACCTATATCAACAAACAGTGGATGGGTGTTACACAGACCAGAGTAAAACATACATGTATCTAGGAACCTATATCAACAAACACTGGATGGATGTAACACAGACCAAGGTAAAACATACATGTATCTAGGAACCTATATCAACAAACAGTGGACGGATGTAACACAGACCAAGGTAAAACATACATGTATCTAGGAACCTGTATCAACAAACAGTGGATGGATGTAACACAGACCAAAGTAAAACATACATGTTTCTAGGCACCTATATCAAGAAACACTGGATGGGTGTTACACAGACCAGAGTAAAACATACATGTATCTAGGAACCTATATCAACACACACTGGATGGATGTAACACGGACCAAGGTAAAACATACATGTATCTAGGAACCTATATCAACACACACTGGATGGATGTAACACAGACCAAGGTAAAACATACATGTATCTAGGAACCTGTATCAACAAACAGTGGATGGATGTAACACAGACCAAAGTAAAACATACATGTTTCTAGGCACCTATATCAAGAAACACTGGATGGGTGTAACACAGTCCAATGTAAAACATACATGTATCTAGGAACCTATATCAACAAACACTGGATGGATGTAACACAGACCAAAGTAAAACATACATGTTTCTAGGCACCTAGATCAACAAACACTGGATGGATGCAATACTGAGATGAAATGGAAAATAGTTATGTATCGACATCTACATCAACAGCACCACAGCACTTGCTGGGCCACACATATTGAAACATTTCAGATTTGAAACGTTGAATTCAATGAGCTTCTTTACCCACTCACTCACAAAGGATTTTATCAAGCTTCAGATATATACATGAACCTGTGTTCACTAACATTAGAGTGAGTGAGTGAGTGAGTTAAAATTTAAAGACACTTTGGCAATATTTCAGCCATATCGTGACTAAGCAACATATATATTAACAATAAGTTAAGATAGAGTATTAAATCCTGTCAACGGAGGACATTAAAACAAATTAGAATATCACAGATATAAATGTAAAACTAGTAATTTAATCTAAAACATTTTAACTATAGAGGACAAGACAATATAAAAATAGGCTAAAGATCACCAACATTAGAAATTCAGCACACACTATCAAGGCAGCTGTGTGAACTAGCTATACAGATATAAAGGGAACAGGAGTGGGCACAAAACTCGGGGAAAGGAACCAGACGTCAATTATACTATAAAAGAACAAATAAACTTTGTTGTTTTTTTACTCTTATGCGGAACACCAAAATCATTCTTTAAAAACTTGTGGTTAATTAGTACCGAGCGATTAAAAGTTGCCAAAAAGTCGCCTGCTTCACGCTCGCCCGCCAACGAAACCACAGACAGGTTACGTAACTCTGTCGCCAGAGCACTGCAGTGACGTCATATGAGGTAGGATTTTCAGTTAGTTGTATAGACGCCCCACTCTGATTGGTTGAAATTTCGTTCGCGGGCGAGAATTGTGCACTGTTGTCAAAAATGTGGATTTGAGTTAATTAAAGATCGAAAGGAGTAGTTTTAATGACGGGGTTTCATTTATAGCGATGCCAGTTAGTGATATACATGTATGTATTTGTACCCCCCTAGAGTATATGTGATCTTTAAGGCCGTACTTAACGAGATGTTCCAGATTCAATCACAGTTGAAAACATTCATGTTAACACTGATTCATATTGCGCACAGAATGAAGGTGAAAATGAATGTTGGCACGTAATTCGTTTACTATCTTTGGCAAGGATGTGGCAATAGATCACATATGTGATGTTATTATGATAAACATGTATGTTCTGTGCGTCAGCATCATCAAAATTACCCAGAGCATTGAAACTGCAGATTGACATAGTGTATATTAATTCCGATTCAATATTCCTTTTCCTGACGATTCCCTTATACCCAGTTTGTTCAAATAGACTCTACATGAGTTGAATGCATACATTAACACACGTGTATACATATACAGCCTTCGCTCCGTGGTTGGAGCGCACTGGGAGGGCGTGACCTCTTGCATTGTGCAGATTTTGATCTCTGAAAAACGATATAAGAATGTGTTCATTAGAAACATTGCCGCTTTATTTAAGTAGCTGTATTAATATTCAGTAAACATATTCCTAGCTTTTCATGTTATATAATTAATATGACCTGTGAAGACCTGGGTTCGAACTGGTCTTCAGCAACCCATGCTTGCCATAAGATGCGACCAACAGGACCATATGGTCAGACTCGCTGACTTGTTTGATGCATGTCATCGTGTTTCCACTGCGTAGATCGATTGCTCACTGGGGCTATTTACAGACATCCTTCATATAGCTGGAATATTGCAGGGTGCGGCATTAAACAATCATTCAAACATAAATAAATTTTGAGGCAACATGATTTGACATCATTTCATACACACATTTATGAATTAAGAAGGCGATATTGTATCAATTTAAAACAGTATTAGACGTGACAGTCATTTCCTTCAGTATATAGGGGCAATGACCATATAGGCATTCCATCTCAAATTGTGAAAATTGTGAACATATTTTTCCTGGTACCAAGGTATTCGTTGTTCTTATCAACGGTGATTTTGTCACTTAAGATACACGGCTAAGTTAGAACAGACATTTCAATGTTTCTTCTTGAAAATAAAAGTCAATTTACAGCATTGAATTACCACTGCATGTCACGAAAGCGGACATTGGTGGCCCACGCGTCTGATGTTGTACAAAGGTGCAGGTTTTACCACTTTAAGAAACCAATCTTGTGAGTTCAGAATCTCAGCTACTAGGTTTATCACCACCATCGTCATGCTCATGCATTTCACAACATTGCATAAAGCCTGCGTCACTCATGACTTTATTGACACATTAAGCTGGCACGGGCTGAAATGCCTTAACGGTTTAAAGCAGCATTCAACAAAACTCACTCACTCATTTGTCATAATAACGCGCTTACCCAGGAGCCTTGGGCATCATGAATTTGTTTTCTTCGACTCTTCCTTGGCTGGTCCTAAAAACAAAACATGAGGTTGTTAATAAGGCTGATCACTGGATTGTCTGATCCATATGTAACAGATTTGTTTTGTCAGTTACTTTATACCGCATTCAGCAATCAAAAGATCAACTAGCTTACTGTGTACCAATGTTACACTGGAAAAGACCCTCGAGGGGTGATATTACTCGGGAGCAACGCATCACACATCTCTTGATGGTGGGTTTTATCAATGAGGGCATGGCTTCAGAACATTTGAATGGAAACAAATTTTTAAAAGAATTAAAGCAGGTTGTTTGGTTGCTGTTTACCGCCCCACTCAGCAATATTCCAGGTAAATGGTGGCGGTCTGTGAATTAACGAGTCTGGGACCAACAGCATGAGTATCGATCTACGCAAATGGGATACGATAACATGTGTCGACCAACTCAGCGAGCCTGATCCCCCGATTCCGTTAGTCACCTCATCATGAACTGTACTATGACTACCATTCTGGACAGATTTACCAGTGAAGATCGGAGTTAGAATTGATCTTCAGTAGTAGTGAGTTTGGTTTTACGCCGCACTCAGCAATATTCCAGCTATATGGCGTGTAAATAATCGAGTTTAGACCAGACAATTCAGTGATCAACAGCATGAGCATCGATCTGCGCAGTCGGGAACCGATGACATGTGTCAACCAAGTCAGCGAGCCTGACCACCTGATCCCGTTAGTGGCCTCTTATGACAAGCATGGATTACTGAAGGTTCATTCTAACCCGGATCTTCACGGGTCATGAAGAATTAAAGGAACGCCTACCGTTTGAGTAGCAGAATCTCTGGTCTTCACCTTCACGATGCCCAGTGGAGCTGTCTCTACTGAGATGTGTGCTTTCATAAGCGATAAGCCTGTATAAGATAAAAGAAAATTAGCAAAGTCCAATCTAAACTGCAGGAATCATGTTTGCATATACATCTTAAACACACTACAACACAATTTTGCAACATCCCTGACGAAATGTTGTATCCTCTGCATCATGGTGAGTAATACTGTAGAACGTATTCACCGATATTCCAGCAATATCACATAACGCACACCAGAAAATGGTCGTCAAAATGGATTGATATGGCCTTTCTTGTGAGAAGAGTGACGTGAATCATTAATGGGTCTTCGTGTTTATGTTTATTGTTTATTTGTAATTGTTGTTCTTATCATAATGGTACTTTTCTATTAGTTTTGGATGAGATCATTGATGACTTTAAGGTAACCAACACACGGATTTGAGTGAAAGAGACGTGAAGTGTTTCCAAAAGGACAGAAAAGTGGAATCTTTGCGGGATTCTTACATGCTTGAGTCTTGTTGTTGAGTTCCAGAAGATGATGCAGATGGTGTGAGGTCTTCTTCTGTAGAGCTTTTACCATTTCAAATCCAATGCAATATTTTCTTCTGTCTTCCTCCGGCTGAAAGTTGAAATTAAACAGACTTTGTTAAAAGTGCTTAGCTTTCCAATGACGTGGATGGTGTCATAGTTGATCCGTGAAGATCCAGCTTAGAATTGACCTTCAGCAGCCGTTGTTTGTTGTAGGTTGCGCGATAATGTGGTTAGGCCCTTAGTGGATGCTCCTGATGTCAGTCACTGGTCCTCAATTAGTAAGAGATAATGTCTGAAATATTGCTGAGTGTGGCGTTTAACAACAAACACATGTATATGGGGCATCATGAATTTAAAAATATATGATTCATAATGAAAACCTACGTTCAGCCTCGGTTTTTTGTTGTCTCCATTGCCCAGTGTATCAGTGTTAACTGCCGTAAGTGTTCTGAAAAACAAAATGAATATTCAAGTCATCGTTATATACATGAATGTATGTATTCGATCGTAAGAGCTTGCAAAATGGTAATGCGAAAAGTCCAAAGCTGACAAAGATACACCTTAAACAGTGATAATTGCATGACCATTTTTCACGTTATCCTTTCTTTTTCGTTCATATAATATCGGGAATATGATGCTCTGATGTCCCAGGTTTCAGTATGCAGAGTGGACCTTGATGCAGTCAGTAATCCAATGGTCATGGGGTCGAATCAGGCCTGGGCAGTAGGGTAGGCTTATGGGAAAAGCCTCCGCTCGTCACACCCAAGACCCCGGTTCGATTCCCCACATGGGTACAATGTGTGAAGCCCATTCCTGGTGTTCCCCACCATGATATTGCTGGGTTATTGCTAAAGGCGACGTTAAACCATACTCATTCACTCACTCACTCAAATCAATGCCTGTGTTCATAGGTCGAATATTTCTTCTCACTCACGCACGCACGCACGCACGCACGCACACAACTGACTGCATGAACGAGGCATCTTTGTATATTTGCTTGATCATTATGTTAGGAAACATTCCGATAATCACCTGGACATTTGATGCCTAAGGCGTACTTGCTCAGTGAACTCCTCAATTTGCTCATGTGTTCCTTCAATGATTTTGATACGCTCATAGAACTCTTCCTCTGTGAGGAGCCACAGTTCTTCCTCTTCCTTCTCACCAGGAACCAGCTGTATCGTACCAACAGCAACAATAAAGGCGTTGAACACTTTCTCACATTTTTCTCGAGTCATTTTCAAAGAGGCCAGGTTATTGTATGCTCGGGCATTCTTCTCCATAGACAACAAACCTTTAATAAAAGTCACATCATCTACAAGTTCATCGGAGTCAAGAAGGCCGTATATGCAACTGACATGCTCATCTGTAAACTGACGAATCCTCTTCGTAACTTTCCTTGTCAGCTGCAGAATGTACTTCTGCTTCTCTTCAACTTCATCATTTTTGTTTTTGACGACGCACAGAAGCGTCACCGCTTGACTTGAAGAAACATACAGAGCTTCAAGCAGAAGATCGCTGGGTATCTTAACGTCTGATACTTTCTCTGTCTTCAGTAGTTCTACAAGGGAGTTACTCATGTACAACAGACCAGCTGCATCTTTGTGATTGTGGAATGTCGTTTCCAGTCGATCTGTCAGAAGTTTCTGGTGACTGGATGACTTGAAACTTGGCCAAACAGTAAGACCTAAAGAACAAAACGTAATCACAGAAAACGTTCTTCTGAATTAAAACTGCAAATACTTCATATAATGCACATATTTATCGCCACAAATGCCTTTCCCTATATAAAGTTTGTGTCTGCAACTTCTCAATGTGTGTTCATGTTTGTAAACTGATGTGCAAAAGAAAGTATACAGGTTGTGTTTCTTCCAATAACATAAAAATAACAAAACCTTTTGATGAAATGGAAAATATATGTTGAAGCACACTGCAATACACGTGTTTTATCAGCAAAATGACATTGTAACAATAAACAGCGATGTAGTGATGACCACTGCAGACGGTTCCTACGATGCTGGAAGGTCAAGGCCATTCCACGCAGCGGTCGGTAGGCCCATACATGCCAGCAGGACGAAGTCGTCTTGTCACTGTGAATCGGCTTACGCGATGACCCAATGATGTGGCTGCTGATGACGTCACCGTCAACATCCAGTTGCGTAGGTGAATAACCCGCAGATAGCGATCCTCTTGGGGTGTTGTGACTCTGGAACGTCCACTTCTGGGTCGATCACATGTCTGGCCTGTCGTACCGAAACGGTTAAACAGCCAAATTATGGTTTGTCTTGTGCAACCCAATGTCCTTGCAATATCGCTGTTGAAAGCAGCCATTTGTGTCATTCCTTTGGCCCGTTCTCGTTACGCCGACGTCAATCTTGGCATTTCCTCGTGAGATTTATGTCAACTGATTGTTCAGTCTTCACGATAAACAGGTTTTATACTCTCTGCCAGAAAGGTTCTGGTGCATGGGACAATAATCACAATTTTGCAAAAAATCGTGCAAAACAAGTACAAATGTTTTTGGTTGCATTTTGGCAAATGAAACATGATGGTTGCGATCTATACAATCAATGTTTTTCAAAAATTTTATTACTTAGAACGCATATTTGGGATTGCAACAACAATTACACCTGTGTACTTTCTTTTGCTCGTCAGTTTATGACAACATCAAGCTATTTTGAAAAAAACAGGGATCATTAACATTTTCGCGTTCTCAGTAAGAAAACAGACCTGTACTGAAGAAACTTTCCCGAATATTTCTGAAGGAACCATCCTCTTGTCTCAGCTTTGGAAGGAACGGATCATTACTAGGCCACGTTAGAAGACTTGTGTCTGAAGCAAAATCAAATATACATCTTAAAAGCATTACCAGCTAATTCATGTGAGTCAAACATCTGAAAAAAGGCTTTAGAATATCAGTAGCTTTGAGTAATTGTAATACGTGTTACTGTTATGTAATCTATTCCACTGCACCTATTTTGGACATTTTATCTCTCTGTTACCACTTTGAAACTGTTACAGTTTATTTTTTCGTATTTAGCCTCAGTATAATGCATACACGAAGTATTATCCATGCATACACACTGGCAAGGATCTGGATACTTACTGTCCATATTGGATCATTCGTAGCCAGGTTTCAAAATCCACTTTCTGTATTATGTTATTTATTATTTTATAGGCTTCGGGACCTGAGTCATGGAACACACACCCATACATGTATCCAACAGCGATCTCCAGTATATACTTTCCTGACACTAATCTATGTAGTTTACACTCCCAGGGTAACCTTCTTTCATTATCTGGAGATGTGTGGGATATCACAATTTCCCTCTCAATCAGCCCCTGTAGTCTTCGTTGGAAGCCCCTACGTTCCTCACTGGAAATATTCAAGCCAGTCGATTCTATTTTCACGCGGTTGTATGTATCTCTTGTTGATACACGCTCCTGTACCGAGTTTTCTTCTATTCCAAATATGATTGAACCACCCGTTGGCAGCTTTGAGAAGGAAGTTAGATAACTCTTCAATTTTAAATCGTTCCAGAGGTGTAGTATGTCAGCTTTCATCCAACGTTTAAACTGTAAACATCTACTTTCTTGAAATGATGGACTATTTGCTGTACCATTTATGAATTCGTCTCCCACGAGTTTAGGTTCACCAGGTGGAATGTCAGTTGACTTCAATAAGTCCTGAATCACACCTTCAGTTGCAGACTTAATGCTGAAATCAGTATTCACAGACGTATTGAATTCTGCCGTACAAAGAAAGGACGAACCTTTAACACTTAATACCACGAATTCGTGTGCTTGTGCGTGATTAGGTTCAATCTCAGTCAACCAAATCTTTTTATAGATATTAGCAAACTGCTCATCCCAGTGAAGAAGTGTTTCCAGAGTTGGATCAATGTATTCATTCAGATGGTGCAATGACCTGTCAGTCTTGGCAATTCGCTGGATATGTATAAACAGCACACCGCCTGTTGAGTTCCGTAAAGCAGAAACTTTCTTCCGAAGTTCTTTAGTTATTGGTTTTCTCCTTTCTTGCTGCTTCTTGTTGCTGATCACAGTTACATCTACATGCAGACTTAAACGGTAATCCTCTGGAAACCTGGTATCGCGTGTTACTAAGAGGCAGTACCTGCAACCTTCTGCAAAAGAACATATCCCATAACCACTTGCAAATTATAAAACATACAAGACATTTTTTTCACTTTGAAGTAATAATTATTTAAAACTTCCCTTAGAATAAATGGCTTTTGTTTATAAATACTCTGTGGAAAGAATGGAGGAAAATATGACTGGTGTTGAGGCTGTGGATGAGGAAGATGAGTTGTTGAGGCTGTGCATGAGGAGGATGAGTTGTTGAAGCTGTGGATGAGGAAGATGAGTTGTTGAGGCTGTGCATGAGAAGGATGAGTTGTTCAGGCTGTGCATGAGGGGGGTGAGTTGTTGAGGCTGTGGATGAGGAGGATGAGTTGTTCAGGCTGTGGATGAGGAAGATGAGTTGTTGAGGCTCTGCATGAGGAGGATGAGTTGTTGAGGCTGTGCATGAGGAGGATGAGTTGTTGAGGCTGTGCATGAGAAGGATGAGTTGTTGAGGCTGTGCATGAGGAAGATGAGTTCTTCAGGTTGTGCATGAGGAAGATGAGTTGTTCAGGTTGTGTATGAGGAAGATGAGTTGTTGAGACTGTGGATGAGGAAGATGAGTTGTTGAGGCTGTGCATGATAAGGATGAGTTGTTCAGGCTGTGCATGAGGGGGATGAGTTCTTGAGGCTGTGGATGAGGAGGATGAGTTGTTGAGGCTGTGGATGAGGAAGATGAGTTGTTCAGGCTCTGCATGAGAAGGATGAGTTGTTGAGGCCGTGCATGAGGAAGATGTGTTGTTGAGATGTGGATGAAGAGGATGAGTTGTTCAGGCTGTGGATGAGGAGGATGAGTTGTTGAGGCTGTGGATGAGGAGGATGAGTTGTTCAGGCTGTGTATGAGGAAGATGAGTTGTTCAGGCTGTGTATAAGGAGGATGAGTTGTTGAAGCTGTGGATGAGGAAGATGAGTTGTTGAGGCTGTGCATGAGAAGGATGAGTTGTTCAGGCTGTGCATGAGGGGGGTGAGTTGTTGAGGCTGTGGATGAGGAGGATGAGTTGTTCAGGCTGTGGATGAGGAAGATGAGTTGTTGAGGCTCTGCATGAGGAGGATGAGTTGTTGAGGCTGTGCATGAGGAGGATGAGTTGTTGAGGCTGTGCATGAGAAGGATGAGTTGTTGAGGCTGTGCATGAGGAAGATGAGTTGTTCAGGTTGTGCATGAGGAAGATGAGTTGTTCAGGTTGTGTATGAGGAAGATGAGTTGTTGAGATTGTGGATGAGGAAGATGACTTGTTGAGGCTGTGCATTATAAGGATGAGTTGTTCAGGCTGTGCATGAGGGGGATGAGTTGTTGAGGCTGTGGATGAGGAGGATGAGTTGTTGAGGCTGTGGATGAGGAGGATGAGTTGTTCAGGCTCTGCATGAGAAGGATGAGTTGTTGAGGCCGTGCATGAGGAAGATGTGTTGTTGAGATGTGGATGAAGAGGATGAGTTCTTCAGGCTATGGATGAGGAGGATGAGTTGTTGAGGCTGTGGATGAGGAGGATGAGTTGTTCAGGCTGTGTATGAGGAAGATGAGTTGTTCAGGCTGTGTATGAGGAGGATGAGTTGTTGAGGCTGTGCATGAGGAGGATGAGTTTTTGAGGTTGTGCATGAGGAGGATGAGTTGTTCAGGCCGTGGATGAGGAGGATGAGTTGTTCAGACTGTGTAAGAGGAAGATGAGTTGTTCAGGCTGTGTATGAGGAGGATGAGTTGTTGAGTCTGTGCGTGAGGAGGATGAGTTGTTGAGGCTGTGGATGAGGAGGATGAGTTGTTCAGGCTGTGTATGAGGAGGGTGAGTTGTTCAGGATGTGCATGAGGAGGATGAGTTGTTGAGGCTGAGGATGAGGAAGATGAGTTGTTCAGGTTGTGCATGAGGAAGATGAGTTGTTCAGGTTGTGTATGAGGAAGATGAGTTGTTGAAACTGTGGATGAGGAAGATGAGTTGTTGAGGCTGTGCATGAGGAAGATGAGTCGTTGAGGCTGTGCATGAGGAAGATCAGTTGTTGAGGCTGTGGATGAGAAGGATGAGTTGTTGAGGCTGTGCATGAGAAGGATGAGTTGTTTAGGCTGTGCATGAGGAAGATGAGTTGTTGAGGCTGTGCATGAGAAGGATGAGTTGTTGAGGCTGTGCATGAGGAAGATGTATTGTTGAGGATGTGGATGAGGAGGATGAGTTGTTGAGGCTGTGCATGAGGAGGATGAGTTGTTGAGGCTGTGCATGAGAAGGATGAGTTGTTCTGGCTGTGGATGAGGAGGATGAGTTGTTGAGACTGTGGATGAGGAAGATGAGTTGTTGAGGCTGTGCATGAGAAGGATGAGTTGTTGAGGCCGTGCATGAGGAAGATGTGTTGTTGAGATGTGGATGAAGAGGATGAGTTGTTCAGGCTGTGGATGAGGAGGATGAGTTGTTGAGGCTGTGGATGAGGAGGATGAGTTGTTCAGGCTGTGTATGAGGAAGATGGGTTGTTCAGGCTGTGTATGAGGAGGATGAGTTGTTGAGGCTGTGCATGAGGAGGATGAGTTTTTGAGGTTGTGCATGAGGAGGATGAGTTGTTCAGACCGTGGATGAGGAGGATGAGTTGTTCAGACTGTGTAAGAGGAAGATGAGTTGTTCAGGCTGTGGATGAGGAGGATGAGTTGTTGAGTCTGTGGATGAGGAGGATGAGTTGTTGAGGCTGTGGATGAGGAGGATGAGTTGTTCAGGCTGTGTATGAGGAGGGTGAGTTGTTCAGGATGTGCATGAGGAGGATGAGTTGTTGAGGCTGTGGATGAGGAAGATGAGTTGTTGAGGCTGTGCATGAGGAAGATGAGTTGTTCAGGTTGTGTATGAGGAAGATGAGTTGTTGAGACTGTGGATGAGGAAGATGAGTTGTTGAGGCTGTGCATGAGGAAGATGAGTCGTTGAGGCTGTGCATGAGGAAGATCAGTTGTTGAGGCTGTGGATGAGAAGGATGAGTTGTTGAGGCTGTGCATGAGAAGGATGAGTTGTTTAGGCTGTGCATGAGGAAGATGAGTTGTTGAGGCTGTGCATGAGGAAGATGTATTGTTGAGGATGTGGATGAGAAGGATGAGTTGTTGAGGCTGTGCATGAGGAGGATGAGTTGTTGAGGCTGTGCATG